AGCCTGTACTTAGGTAACGAGTATCGGTGGTACGCCGGAAAGGGTCACCTGCAGAGTCGTAATTTGCGGAAGATAGACGCCCAAAATAGACGCGGGCATGGCGCATGCTGCAGAGGAGAGGAGTGAGAAAGTTGTGAAGAAAGATGATGAAGCAATGTCGCATGCGTACTGCGGTAGGTGAGTTAAGGGAAGAGATGGCAGAATGGGATGTTCCCTGTGGAAAAGCAGGGCATGGGAGTGTTGGCGGGATGAACAGACCGACTTTTCGATATCCCATCCTTGGTTGCCCTTTCCATGCATTCCCCCCCTCTGGCGCAGTTGCCGCTCCTTCTTTTTGCCACTATTTTGTTACAAAATACGGATAGGAAACTGGTGATCATTGGATCTTCCCTTCCTGCTTCGCTCCGAGGAAGGGGGCCTGGCTGGGTCTGTGGTGATCAGGGCTCCGTCCCCCGGACTCTCCATTCTGGTGCTTCTGGGCCTGCCTTCCGAAGCCGAGGTGCTCGCCGATGGTTCTTGGTGTTTTCCCAGGTTGTTGGTGATGAAGGCTGCACCTCAGAGACGAAGTGGAAGTGGTTGCCAGCTGGCGGTGATTCTCCTTCCCAAGTACGCCGTAACGCAGCCTTGCGACCAATCAGAGCTCTGGCGCAGGTTGCCGCTGCCACTTCTTTTTTCGGACTCGCGGGAGTGGATCAAACCCAAGGCGCACGCCCCCTGACGACTCAGGGGGTGTTCAATCCCTGTTCGTTTCAGATTCTGCCAAGACGTCGAGGAAAATAGCTTCAAATTTCACACCAAGGGCCCGACGCTCCCAATCTCCCATGCAGCGCCAGATTGGAAAGCTGCAGGATGTGGGGGCGGCGACTCGCAACAGACTCGTTTCTGCCTCTCTCTCCCTCTTAAAACTCTCGACCGTGGGAACACTGTACACTTACACCCAAGAGAGGCAAGGCAGCACAGTATGAACGAGGCAAAAGCCAACCTGAATCGTTTGCTGCAGTGCTCCTTCAGCGGGATGAGCAAGCCACAAAAGACAAAAAAAAAAAACCATAGGGAAAAGCTCTCACAGTATATGCCATGGCTAAAAGGGTTTGGAGGGAATGCAAGATCGCACACTACTACGCTGTTATGTCCGTACCTAGTCTCGTGATCTTACTTTGTCGCAGACTCGCAGGTCGTTTCCCGCTAACAGTTTTTTTTTTACCGAGTTTTATTTTCCTGATCTACGATCGCGAAATTGCGATGAGCTGGTTCAAGTCTGAGAATGTTTTAGGGATGAGCTGGCTGGGCGCCCGCGCCGTGTTACGTTGCCGCTTGCCGAATGTCTGCCGCAAACATGACCCTGCTGTGTTGCGAGCGTCCAACCCGTTGTCAAGAAACAAAAAAAAGACGGGGTTACCATCTGGAGTTCATGCGGTGATCCAACAAGGGGAAGGGGGAAAAACAGGAGGCTCTGCTTGTAGTTCAGGACCACGATGTTGTATCAGCATCCGAGCGTTCTTTATTTCTCCGTTTTCCATGTGACCAACGCGTCCAGGCTCTTCAACGTCAACGTCGTTTCTTTCAACTGCTTTGTTGTCGCGATGATGCAAATGATGACGCCGGTGTCCTCCCCCCCTCTTCTCCCCACCATCACCGCCGTTATAGTATGAGACGGGGGAGGATGGGGGGGGATGAGTGAGTCAATACATGGGACGAAGAGGGACGGTGGATATCCCATCTATCTTGCGAGAGATTGACGAACGGTGAGCGTGGGTAAATAGAGGAACACACATATACGAGCCGCCGGCTATAGTGTTCCTAATTCTGGCAAAAGGAAGAAGAAAAAGAGACAATATCGATCATTATAGCCGTCCCTCCGTCAGGTAGAGGTATCATCCATGGAGGAGCCACGATGGCTCTGCCCTGCCTCGGCATCTCCCATACGAGGACGCGCAGGGATCTGGCTGGCAAGACTGGAGGAGGGATGTCTCTGGTTGTCAAGAACGGGATTTTCGCCCTCACTTGAATGAAAAAGAGCAGTTCAAAGGGAAAAAGGTTTCCTGACAAGACAACCCGACCACCCCCCGTCTGCCCCTTAGTGCCCCCCTTCGGTTTCTCTTTCTCTCTGGTAGGCCTGCCGCCCTGGGAGACTCTGGAATGTTGCCTTTAGGTGTGGCTTGTCAATCTTGTCTCTGGTTCCTAGTATTGCCACGAGGCCAGAGTCGATCGAATTCCCTAGCCGCTTTCAACCTGTCAAGCGATAAACCTTGGGTGCCAGCTGGAAGATTGGCCCTTTTTCTTTCTTTCTTATAATCAGCCCACCGGAAAAGAGAGGATCGTTTCCATGTGACTCGTGATGTCGAGTCCTCTCTACTCGAGAAAGATGTAGCGAGCCGTTATCCTGTGAGAAGTGTGAATTGGGGTGACTGGCAACCTAATCCCTGGCAAGACGAGGGTCACAGAATGGAGACGAACGTCGAATTATCCCACGGGACTGGCTACGACGCGTCTCCCCCCTCTGCTCGGTCAGCCGCCGACAGATAAAAGCCTGCGCCTACAGAGTGGGTGGGCGGCTCTTTGTACGTGGAACGGAATATCCGTAGTAAAGGTCAAACTGAGCCCCAAAGTCGGATACCTCCATTTCTGTTCGTCCAAAAGGTCCCTTGATTTAGGAGAGAGAATGGACTCTATGGAGAAGTTGCAAATTCTAGATCGGGTGTAGCTCTATAGTGGCTCTTACCGACTTAGGTAGGGGGGCCCATCAACTTCCAACGGATACTGAGCCCTCTGTACCTGTTTCCGACAAATGAAATAAAGGTCTCCATCCTGCCTTGCTTGCCTGGCCGCGCGCAACTGAATACCGCAATTGGGGGTCCGGCGGCGAGACCGAGGGACAAACTCGAGCTGATGAGTGCAAATAGAGAGAGATAATGGACTCGAGGGGGAGGAGGAGGAGGACACACTACAGGCGGCCGCAGCGTTTCGTTGCCGCCGAGGGAAGGAGCCACAAAGAAGGCTGTGTTCAGTTACGGCGTGTTCAGAAGGGCAAAGACAGCGAAAGGACAGCGTGTATCTCGAGCATGTTTTGGCGGCTAAGGCCGGAGCCGCGGGCACCACAAAGGGCGGCGGCGGCTTTCGAAAGATGGTGGTTCAAACTGAAACCGGTGGTTGGCTGGTGATGGCCGCATCTAGAAAAGGGCACGAACGGGCAAACGCAGGCTGTGGCAGTGGCATGTCGCGCAAGCCGTCGGTACTCCGTGGGTAGTAACCGCAGACGTACGAAGTATGGTTCAGAAACATCATGTTCTAGACTAGGGCAGTTCAGGTCGGTGGGCTTGGGTTTAATGATCGAAGACCCAGTTGTCGGTAAGGATATTGGCCTGGTTCAACAGATTGGCTATATGTCAATTGTCAAATGAGAAGCACGGCCCGGCGATGATGATGTTCTATAGTGGGCTTGGAATGATGGAATGATCTGCAATCGACATTTGCCAGACTGACTCTCAACGAACCCACGGAAACCCACGATCCCGGCCGAGAGTCGGTCGGAATTTGCCTACACAAATTTGAGTGGAGGGTATTTTGGGTTCTCGTGAGGAATGTGTTATGTGGACTGGAAATGCTGACTGTACAGAGTGCACGAATATCCGGAGAGCCACTTAGGCAAGGAACCCAAGAAGCACAGCACCGCAGGGCACAAGCAGCACCAGAGTCTCGGTATTTCGTTGCAAGGGTGGAGGAGGAGCAAGGCAGGGAAAGACAAGCAAGAAAAAAAAAGCACAGGACGCCAGGAGGCTCTCGCCTAGAGAGATGAGCCAGCCCTCTGCGCCAAAAGTAGTAGCAGGCAATTAATTACTGGGAACAGCCGGGAGATGGGTCACCCAGGGCGAGATCTGACAGCCCAGAGACGAGGCCGCCGCCGAGGGCAGGACAGGACGACGGCGGCTGTTCGGTTACAGAGTTCAGACTCTTTTCTTCGGTATCACAGCCTCAGCGAGGCAGAGAGCAGAAAGACGGAAACTTCCATTGGATAGGGTAAGACAAGACAAGGGGCTCGGGAGTTCGCGCTGGCACTCGGGGTTGCTAAGAGGAAACAATAGTGGTGATTGGGCGTTGCGCACCGCAACTTTGCGCCCAGTCCTGGCGGCGTTGAGCTATATTCCTTTTTGACATGCCTGTCATTTTCTTTCTAGTCTTTGGATTACTCCGTACGGTAATAACGACTCCCCGTATTACGGATACAGATGGCTTGAGAGCCCGTGTCTGCGTGTTGGTACTAGTGTGTATGATCGCTGTGACCGTTTGTGTGTAAGTGCGTGCGTGTGATGTGTAGACATGCCACTGCATGTCACTGAGAAGCCAGCTTGATAGGTTGATTAGGAGTTCTCAGGTCAGCAATTTCAAACTCATGGCGTTCTCTTCGTAGCGAAGTAGAACAACCAACGCAACCGGAGGAGGAGGAAGTGCAGAGAGGTATTTCGCTGAGCCTTGAGGCACAGAAACAAACACTAGACTGACAGTGAGCCGGAAATAAGCACCCATCAATGGAAGACGGAATCCCGCCGCCACTGCGACGGCGCATTGCTATTATGTTTTCTGAGTACCTTGTTATTGAAGAAAGTTAATTCTTTCTGAGTCACAAGTACAAGAATATAGTTTTAATAAAACAGTGTAGTGCCTACTTAGTACTTAAATTGAGATGCTTTTTTAAGCTTATTATAAGAGAAAGATAACTGTACTACTAACTACCTGCTATCGAGGTCCGTAAGTAGCGCTATAGCTTTAATTGCTATAGCTTCAACCGTAATAGCTTTACCCATAATGGGCGAAAAGTCTAATTATGAGTCCCTTAAAAGCCTCTTATTAAGAGTTATAAGAGCCTCCGAGTATACTAAGTTGAAATGCTTACTAAGATACTAATAACTAAACTAACCCTACGATAATAACCTTAATAAAATACCTAGTGGATAATGCTAGAATCCTCGCTAACGTTAGGTATAATTTACGAAGCGTAGTAACGCGGCCGCAGAGTATTACTAATATATCCTATACTAAGAAGGGTATTATTAGTACTAACGAGACGGATAGGGCCGTATCGATATAGTACCTCGGCTTCTTCTTATAGCTTAAGGATAATTACCTTAGATAGTATTAGAAGTTTATTAAAAAGCTCTCTTAAGTACTCCGGCATATTTACTACTATCTTTGCGATAGTAAGACTCCCGGCGCCCACGTATAAGAGTAGGTTACTTACCTCTAGATAGTAATACTAGCTTATTAATAAGCTATTAAAACTACGATTTTGGTAATCCCTTGACGAGGGAGAGGGTAGAATAGAGGAAAGGATGGGTGACTTATGAAAAGGGTTGAGGTTAAATAGTGCGGAATTCGAGGGTAGGGTAGCGTCTATATATACTGCGGTAATCCTCTAGTAATGCAAAACGATGGAGTTAAACAGTGGCGCATTGCTATTACTGCGTGTATGGAGTGTGTAGATGTTCCCCTGGCAGATCTTTTTTCCTGTCTGGAGATTCAGACGCGGCACCAACGCCGGCAGCAGCTTAATCAGGGACAAGAACTCCAAACAGTGGCGAGAAATGACGGAACACTTCATATGTGCAGCAGGTCAGCATCTTTAGTGTTGAATAGCTTTTGATCGACAACTCTACTTTCGTGACTACAACTCTGACTGAGGCAAGCAATTGCAACAGACATATATGTAGGCAAACGGATCTGGGATACACATTGGGCAGATCCATGAGACCATGAACCATGAATCCGAACCAGCAGTGGTGAAGAGGGCAAGAGGCAAAAAGATTGAAATGAACTGAATCCAACAGGCCAGGTACGTACCGAGGCTGCACGGCAGGAGTGACCAAATTGGAACTCCCCGGCGTGCCATTGGCCCAAAATTGGCGCCGACCTCCAGACGACGGGCGACTACGAAGTACAAGGCGCATGCACGCGACTGGGACTGTGGACCTTTTCTTTTCTTTCCTTCTTTCTCTATTCGTACTTGCTAAGTTGGTCCTGGAGGGCGGGCTATTAATAGACCCCGGTCATGTTTCGCAAAATACGCTCCAGTCACGACGAAGCCCCAGTGCCCCACTTCCTGGGGGTGACCCAGGCACACACAGGGACCCAGGGAATCACTCGCACCAAGCCCCAAGCCATGAACCCCACTTATTCCGTCCTGGGAAGTGGTGTGGTTGGGCGGCTCCACTTACGCTGGGCGGCCACTGGCCAATCCTCTCTTTCCCTCTCACACACACACAGTAGGTGCGCACCACACACACGCTCTCTCCTGCCGCCTTCTCAATCGCGGGGGGACCATACTACGTAGAAACTCGCACGGGGAGAAGGAGGAATTGGTTGAATTGGTGAATTGCAAGACCAAGCTGACAGAGATCTGACTCTGAGAGAACGGAAAGAGGAGGACACAGGGCCTAGAAGCCGGGTTTGGACCAGTCATTGCCGTTCCTCTGCATCTTGCAGCGCAGCAGCCGGCGGCAGCGGAACACCGGAATCTTGCCTTTGCCCCTCCACCCTCTTTGCCCATCGGCATCAGTCAGTCCAGACAGACAACTCCCAACCAGACAGACGTGCTGATGTTCGGTGGCCTTCTGTGCTGCTTGTTCTCTGCATATTGCAGGTGTCAGGTCAGAGTCACCACATTGTGTCCGTCTGTCCGTTCGTTGCTTCGTACCCACAACAGCGGAGTGCCGTGTTGACGATGACAGAGCGGGCAGTTCGATACAGACTACTACTCTGATAGCCCGTGGACAATATACTAGGCTTGGTCGCGCGATGGTGCCCACGGCTCTAAAACAACAGTAAATCAACCCAAGGACGGGCACCAGTCCAAGTCCTCGTCAATGGCGGCGGGCTAGTCCACGGCTCTCACGTAGTAACCTCCGGCTACAGCCTACGCCCTCGCATACTGGAGCTAAGGGGGTAGCGCTTGCGCAGACGAGGCCGTAGACGAGGCCGCACTAACAGTTCCCGATCTGACCCCTCCGCCAGCCAGCACTACCTACTTTGTTTTGTCGAGATGGGTTCCAGTTTGTGCCTGTCTGTGTCCCGTGCCTTGCTCTCTCCTCCTCACCTTGCCTTGCCTTTCCTTGCCTCGCTTTTGCAGCCTGCCTGGGCTGCCTTCACGTTCTAGGTATCCATACTCCGTACCCGTACGTGCGATGGGTTCTGGACAGCATTCTGTGACAAAAGGTGCTGGCCGGTGACTAGACAGGGAATTCTGTCACTTGCATCGAGCTCTCTCCACTACCTTAGCACTGGGTACTCCGTACGGGTCCAGACTTGCCAGTTGCTGGTGGTTCTTGTCCTTTCACCATCGTACGTCTACGTTGTGTGTCGACTACTATGCCAGATACATTGGCGAAAAGCGAATGCTTAGGGTATCCGTACTCACTCTGGAGAGATCCAATGCTTGGTGTTCTATTCGTAGTAATTGCTACTTAATGTGATCCGTACTTTACCTTAACCTGAGGACATAAAAAGGCACAGGAAGGGCTCAGAGAAGGTACGTTCCTTGTCAATCCTTACCGGGCACCCAGACACTTTTGCCAGGTGAACCTCAGACAGAAGGCGACAGAGAGAGGGGGGACGAGGCATGGTAGGATAGGTACGTACCGAGGACCAGCCGCACAGGAAGTGGAAAGGCAGGTGCAATGTAAGGTTTCCATAGGTACCTCTTGCCGCAAACTTGCCCCCTGCGATACCTTGGTCTCTACTACGTGGTACCTACTCCGTAGTATACCAGGGAAAGGAAGGACCCCTGTCCTGGTCGCCCTTCACCCTCAGCCAGCAACTTGATCCTGGGCTGGGGGTACCCTCCCACCACCCGTTGGCCTTCCTTGAGACCTTGACTAGCATCTCCAGGCCAAACCCAGCCCGTCCATGTTCGACGAGGGCAACTGACTGGGCGACAGACGGCCTGCCTTTCACTCTCCAGTCGCTTGGTTGTCGCTTGCGTGCAGGCCTTCCTTCACCTTCAGGTTCTCACTTCTGCCCTCTCTGCTACGGCCCACACCCCCCCAAAGAGCAAGAGCAAGAGCCCCAAGGGCCCCAGTTCCTCTTTCCTTTCCAGTTGTTGGCCCATCCCCAACTCTACCTTGCCTTAGGTACTCCTCTCTCGAACCCTTCCCACATCCGCCATTCACCTCAACTTTCAACCACTTCACGTCTCTCTTCCACCATTTTCCCTTCTTCCCACCCCAATCCCAAATCACCACACACACCCCCCCTCTTCTCTTATTCACTACCTCCCCTTATTCTCAATTCTACGGATACTCTGCCGCCTTTCAAACCAAGCAAATCCAATCCAGCTTCAGTATCCTTCTTCCTTCAACCACCTTACCTTACACTCACCTTACGCATACCCGCCTGGCGATTTCCATGCATCCGTATTGACCGGACCGTGCCACATCTCTTTCCCACCAACAGCATGTGCTAACCCCGAGCCGCCGTTTTCGTCGTGACCACTAGCCATTGTTTTCTCTCTTCTCCATTTCTCTTCCATCACCAACCAAACTTACTACTCTTCTTCCCCTTCGTCTTCCTCTATCCTCCTTCCTACCTCACGAACCACCACCACGACGACCATCCTACTACTCTTGCCCACTATCCACCAGGGCCCCCGCCGCATACGAACCCTCGACTGACCTATTCCTGTCGCGAGACTGGTCACCTGCCCTGCGCACCCTGCGGCACCGCCCCGAGTACGAGGAGGAGTTAGAGAACAGAGAGACACTTCGGTCCTGCCGAGAGACTTGGACCACCACAACCACCCCGCCGACGACGAGGACACAAAACCATCCACGGGATTCAGCAGCGCTGTCCTCCGATCTACAATCAATCGCCCGCCCGCTCGCCTGCCAACCGGCCTTTTCTTTCCATTCTACAGACATCAACCGCGACTCCCGCTCCTTCCACGCCAAACGCCGCAACCATTTCTTTAATCATTACGCCAACGTTGCCCCTCGCGGCCTACACAGTCTCGTCACCCGAGACTGCCGCCAACACGTTTCCCTCGCGCAAGAGAAGAGAAAGAGAGAAGGGATTCGGGCAGCCCATTCAAAAGGTACACAGAACCATGCCGTCAGCAGCGGCAAGAAGGATCTACGAAGATCAAATCCCCTCTTTCATGTCAGTCTTCGATCTTGACGCAGAGACAATCGCCGCTCAAGAGACCGTCACCCTCGTCGACCCCAAATTGATCGATATGGAGGCCACCGGAAAGCCCTTGGCCAGCCCGGTCCAGTCCTTGCGACCGACCATGGACCACTCTCACAAGCACCACGATAGCACCTCTACTCAGGCGTCCGAGTCTGCCGAGTCTTCGCCCACAACGACGCTCTCAACAAGTGACTGCTCCCCGCTGTCGGACCCGTCCCCTTCATCATCCCCCGATTCTCCCGTCAACTTGATACCCCTAAACTCTTTCCCGGCCACGTCCTTTGGCGGCCTTGGTCCATTGTCTTCAATGAACACCATGTCCGCAGCAGAAACCACTAGCTTCGGCCGTCCGATGACGTCTCCTTCGCCGCGTCGTCCTAAGAACATGAAGGGCCTGTCAATTCAGCCGCCTTTCATGGGAAATAGTGCCTCAACACTGGTTTCCGAGCCCGCATCGCCCTCTTTCATCAAGCCGACCATTCCAGCAATGAAGCGCAAGCCTAGTCAGCTCAGCCTCAAGACCCAAACGTCAGATCTGGTCATGCGAAATACCCTAGAGGTCCCCGGCACCCCTGGTATGGCACCCATTTTGCAGAGACGAGCCCTCAAGCACTCGACCTCGTCACCTCACATGCTGCCCTCGCTGAAGTCTGCGACTTTTGGCCCTCCGGGTGGAATGACTTTCCCCAAGGTTTTGGAAAGAAACGAGTCGGGTCTTTCGGAGTTTTTGAGGCCGACAAAGACTGGTATGGGCCAGTCGTTCGACACGACAATCGTTGAGGAGGATTCGCCCATTAGGACTCAGCTCGCGAGCCGCGCCGCCCTCGACTTCGAACCTTACCACGAGAACGAGAACAATGAGGACCAGAAGACGCCGGGTTATCCGGATGGCCCCATTGCAATTTACGAAGACAATGTCTATCTGTACTTGGAGCCGACCGCCGACGAAGCCTCCAAATTTGACACCGTCATCAATGTCGCGCGGGAAGTTAACAACCCCTTCAACTTCTTGCCCAAGTCAGACGAGGTCATGTCAGACTCTCCAGCCGTCCTCAGCCCCATTCCCGACACG